CAAATTTTGTTTTCATTATTTTAAAAGTGCAGGGTAAGTGCTTGATTGCAGAAGTTATTGGATCAGTTAATTCCATAATTGGGTAACCCTTCTGCTAGGCCCTGAACAGCAATAACATAGGCCTGGCTTGAATTTATGGATTTCACATACATTTTCCATCTTGACTCAACACCCCACCTAGAATCCTGGGAAAATACATTTTCCCTGGGTGTTTCAAATTGAACAAGCTTCTCCCCTTGCAAGCCACAGTAAACTAAAACAGGGTTTACTAAAGGAGAGAGTTGCCAACCACATAACTTTTAAAAAGAAAACTTTAGCCTTTAAATAATAGCCAAACCCCAAAACAACAGCTTATCATAGGCACCACTATCAGAGTTCTTTTTCAATTTGTGGAGGGTGAATTTGGTGGCTAGTAAGACTGGTGTAGCTGTTTCGTGTCTCTCTGAATGCTGCAATTAAATTAACCCCTTAGAGAGGTGCTAGTCCTGCAGCAGGGGCTTCTTTTGGTCTGTTACAGAATACACTCAGGGGAGCTTTTCTGCCTAGCCCAGGGAGTCTTACCCAGAGCTACTGTCCAGGGGCTGTACCACTTAGGCTAGCCAAAAGCTGCAGGTGCTTGGTAGGAAGGCCTGCACCAGGGGTCCATACTGCTCCTTGTTGTTGCTTTCATCTGCTGGGGTTGCCATCAAAGTGACAAGTACTTCTTACTACTGGGGTTACTACCACTGTTCCTCACCCCTGGGGTTTGCAAGCCCTCCTTTTTAGAGCCTGATTTGTCCAACAGCAGCGTCAGGTGTGAAATATGTGAAGGCATTGGACAGACTCATTAGAATCCAAACTAATTTTTTTGTTGTTGAATTTCCTGGTGGCAATTAATGCATAGCTTTACTTAATATTCCAAATATATTTAGTGCTGGCCCACATGGTACCACTTTTTCCCACATCTGTGGTTGGAATCATTTAATTTTGGAATACCCCTGGTCAAATAAAATAACTGGTGATGAGATCCCACAAGCAGGGCATGCATTAAAGCAAGCAGAAGAATGTGCTTTAACTGTGAATACCTGAAATCTGTTGGGACTGGAATGACTATTTATACTGGAACAACTGGAGCTTATGACAACACCCTGGAAGATATAGAGCAAAACGAGCAGTTTTTTTTAAGTAAATGAGATTCCCCCATGGAAACACGTAACTACAACGATGAATTTGGGAGGAAAAACATTTAGTTTAATGTGCACTCTGCTTACCCCAGATAAACCAGGAAGCAAAACCTTTAACAAATTAGTGATAATTGTCCTAGAGCACCTGGCACCCAAACTGTTGAACTATGCAGAAAGAACATATCCTGTTTGCTATGCAACTTCTGTGTAGCACCTACTGTTCCTTCACAAGAAGTAAGGAGCAGCACAATATCCTGGACTCTGTATTTCATGTATCTCTTGGAGAGAAAAACAATGCAGTGTTATAGAAGGGGGATCTTTTTGAAGCATGCAGTGGAGCTGTGCACCGTAGCTGGCCCATTATACTTCTCATTGCTTACCAGGTGTGAAGGGAGGAAATAGGCCACAGAAGAGCCTACACAGGTTCTTAACTGAGAGCTGCAAACTGTAGTGAAGGATCTTGGTACAGTAGGAAGCAACTTGGACATACATCATTCTGTCCTGCATATGGTGATATGATAGTTATAGCTGCTGGGTCAGAACAAGACTGCAGGTTCGTGACTCCTGCTTCAATATATTGCTGATGAAAACAAAGCACAGCAACTATATATGCTGTGCAAGGACCTCCCAGGGCAGTGGTATAGACCAGCCCTTAGAGGCCCCAGTTGAAACTAAAGTCCCATTGTGCTACTAGGTATAAACATAGTGAAATCCTGGAAGAGCCCAACAGATTCAGTAGATTAGAGATAGAAAAGCAATAAGGTTTAGCATGGAGGGATGGGGTTAAGTATTTCAGATGGAGAGAGAAGCTACACTTTTGGGTTGAATGGGACTTAAATCCCAACTCTGTTCCTCTAAATGAGTGGATGATAAGAACTGATTAGTAGATGAGCCATTTGGCAAGATGTGTATGGGGTCTAGATTGGGAGCTCCTCTACCCCTGCACTCCTGCCAGAGGGCTCCATAAGGTTCTTTGGTCACACTGGACCTGGGCTCCAGTTACCGCGTCGATCGTCCTTCAACTGTCATGCCAGCTTTGGGACATTTTATCAATACGTCCCATAACTCATACCTGGGATCCCCAGTAGTTCATCTAGTATGAAAATAAAGAAACATGGGTAGTCTGGCTGCCTCTCACCCTCTTCTGGCATGTGTGTCTTCATCCAGTGTCCAAGAGCTTCTCCCGTCACTTCTGGCATCCTTTTATCTCTGCCCTGGGGTGCATCCAACCAGTCAGCATTGGGACTCACCTCCCAGCTGTGGCTCATGCCCTCCTGCGGAAAGAGAGCCCATCTGAAGTGAGTCAGGGCCCAGACTCTTCTCATCTGGGGTCTTAGACTCCCTGGGGCTCAGGGCACCTGCTGAGATACTCCCAGCCAGGGCCTCTCCCTGGCAACTGCTGTTTCTTGGTTGGGAATTCTGGTGTGCAGCATCCAGGCCATGTCTCTCAGTGCTGCGTTCAGTGCTCTGGCTGCATTGTCCCAAGCCAACGGGGCTTTTTGCCAGACCACCGATAAGGGAGAGGGGGCGAGTGGAGTGTTCTCCTTTCCCAATCCCGTCACCCTGCTACACTGCCTTATTAACTTCGTGAATCCATGCTAAAGAGTTTAGCAAGCTAGCAAGATTACTTCAATGCTTTTGTTAACAAATCCAGCTTGCAAGCTTCTTCCAGTCCCTATGGCAAAATTAACAATGTGGTGATGATGCTTTGAAAACATAGGGAAACAGGAATTAAATTGATGCATCAAAAATCATACCTCTGATGCAGGGCACAAGTGTCACTTGTGTCTTCTTAACTAAACAGAACATTTTATTCTAGATCATAAAGAAAGACCAGCCGTCTTTCCTGCCCAGAGCAGGGGGACTAGACCCAATGATCTCACGAGGTGCCTTCCAACCCCTAAACTTCTGTGAATCTAATGCCATAGTATTACCATTCTGCTCCTCTCTCAGCTTTTCTCTCAGGTCTGCTGTGGAGTTCACATGTTCAGACTTGTGATTCTGGTAACATGAGCAAGGTAAAATGAGGCGAGAGAGGAAAAAGTGCATGGTCAGACAGGAAAGGCTTGCCAAAGGAGAAACTTCAAGGGAACTTTGTGCACAACAGCTGCCTGGCACACAAGCAAAGTGAGGAGGTTCCTGTCGTGAGGGCAGTGTAGAAAGGCATGAACAAGGAAGGAAAGACTGGGAATAGATAAAATGGGGATCCTGACAAGGGAGAGTATTACAGCAGAAGAGGAACATTTTCAGAAGCATGTTTCCAGCCCTCTAGAGACACTCTTCTGTCAACTGCTGGACCCAGCGTGCTGGGAGAAACAAATAATAGCATGGGGTTTTCCATCTTAATACGTGAGACACTTCAAAGTAATATTACTAGTCCATGCAGGCCTTATTCATGTCTTAACCTTTGCCTGTCAACATTAAAACAGGACTAGCAAGCTCAAAAGCGAAGGGAGGCAGCACAGCTCTGCCAATAGTTGAAGAAGGGTATTACTGTTCTAATCTTCATTGTTGCCCTGTTTTTGAAATGTTATTCATTGTGACGGAGGCCCCCACAAGCCTGGTATCCTAGCACCAAACCATGTATAGACAACAGGAATACTGAGTCTCAAATCGAAAGCCATCAAAAACTGGATACGTTTTCAGAAACAAAATGCTACTTTTTAGTGAAGAAACCATTGTTTCCTACTCTATCAATGATATTGTGTCACTGGAGGAAGTAACGTGACACGGTTAGGAGCACACGGTTAGGAGCACACTGGGCTATACCTGTAGATGGGAACTTAGTTCCCGCAGACCTCCTAGGTGACTACGGACAAGTCTCTCCACTGCTTCTCAGAAATATGGAAACCTGTGACCTAGCTGCTCTGAGATCTACAGACGAAGTTGTAAAAGAGCTCATTCTTCTTATCAGCAGGGATGCTAGTTTTCTCTGATAAAAACCAAACAAACCCCCCAATTTTGGGGTTTAAAAAAAGTAACCCAAAATCCACATTTTTCTGTGATTTTTAAAATGAAAGACCATTATGGATATAGATATAGATTAGTGGCATTTCATTTTCATCACAGAAAAATGTGGATTTTGGGTTACTTTTCCCCAGAAAGGTCCGATTGTGACAAATTGGCATTTTTCAATAAAGAGATGCTTTGGCATGGGTATAAAATAGTGATTATTAAGGCTGACACCATTTTCCTTTGAAACTTTTGACAGAAAAACGTTATACCCAATTTTGATGACGGGGTGTGGTGGACAGAATAAATTGATTGTTGGGGCTATTCTAGCCTCAAATCCAAAATTTATTAAACACTTAAGCAATACCAGAACAAAACCCCAAACAGTTTATAAACGTATCCTTACATGGGTCTTTCAAATGATGTGATAACTTGGCTGGTCAGGCATTGTCACAGTATTGGGGGCTCACAATCACAGCAGTGGGGTGTTGTTTGCTTCTCTGGCTTCCCAAGTGCTTCTTTGGCTATTTTTATACATCCTTACAACTTTTTTCCCCCCCATATGATTGACAAGCTCCCACAGGTTATGTCACAGGCTCCACCAATTGCCCCTTTATAACAACTATCCCTGTTCCTTTGTTACCCATAATCTCCCTCTCAACTTTCTTATTGCTGGATGGATATGTCATTCTTATCACCATCATCAAAACGGCTTTGATTATATCAAGGCCTGCAGGAAAGGTAGGTTTTTCCCTAATAGGTTTTTGGGGTTTTTTTTTTTAATGCATTTGATTTCCATAGAAAATTTATATATTTAAAAACTGTATGCCTGACAACACAAACATATCAGCTGAAACCAGAGTATAGCCTTTTACTAATTTATAAATGTTTCCATGAAAAACATTTGAACAACAGGACAAATTTAATACTTTATATGTAGCGTGAAGCATAAATACATGATGCTGTAAGTTTTTAATATCATGATTAGTACTTACAAACATTATTTACATGTGGAAAAATCACAAGTGAATTCTGCATGTCAAATGAACATCAATAAAATAATGCTATATCATGTGATCAGCTATTGTGTATACATTGCAGCTCCCAGAAAGCTTTTTCTAGTAATGTTTTAGAGGATGACTCGGGATGTACAGTCCTCAGTGTCTTCTTCTCCATGCCCATGAATATAAGAACTCTTCTCCCCCTGAAACTTCCTTCAGTCCTCATTAGATTTTTGCAGAATATATTTTTTGCAGATATTTGATGTAATTCCAGAAACTCTGCAAGAAGAACTCAGCCAAGGCATGCAGCAATCCAGATAAATTCCTGTTCTCCTGGGCATCTGACTCAGCAGTAGAAACCAGAAAGAAAACACAAACAGAAACCAATAATTCAAATATTAAAGCAGTGATTTATGATCTCTAAATAAATCTGTCCAAAGAAGTTATAAGAAATGGAGCTATAACTCATTTCACATTGGGCTTTCTAAATTGGGCTTTGGTGATGCCTATTGCTCTTAAGTCTCCATGTAGGTCATCTGGGTATCTAAATATGAATCACTCCTAGACACCTCCAGTGTCTCCCCATTGACTGTGTAGGGATCTGAGACACCCAAGCTAATCCAATAGAATCTCCTTTGGGAGCAAGAAGCCCAGTATTAGAGGAATGCAATGTCTAGACTTCATCCTGCCCTTGGTACATGCACTTATCTTGGGAACTACAGGAAGTTAATTCAGCTAATAAAACTAAAGAAAGAAAAGAGGATCCCTGACCTGGGAGACTGTGCTGCAGCTGCTTGTGGGGAGTCTTCTTGGGTGTTCCGGTTACCATTCCATGTTCCTCTGCCCAAAGTAACAAAAAAGCACCTGAGATTTCAAAAATACTCTGACGTTCACTGTTTGACTGAGTCACATACTGGTGCAAAGGCTGAACTATGCATAAGGATCACATTTGTGGGGGACCAGCGGGTAAAATGATGCTAAGGGGCAATCAGCATGGGTGCATAGCAGACAGATCCTGCCTGACTAACCAGGTTTCATTTTACAACCAGGTCACAAAATGCTTGGATGAAGGAATAGAGGTAGATGTTATTTTAAAAAGGCCTTTGACACAGTGTCACACCCACTTCTTATAAATAAACTAAGCAGTTGCAATGTAGATTATTACACAGTTGGGTGGGTAGAAAATTGGCTTATGGGACGCACTCAGAGAGTGGTGGTGGACAGGTCGGTTTCTATCTGGAGAAATGTAGGCAGCAGAGTCCCCCAAGGCTCTGTCCTGGGACCGGTACTATTCAATATCTTCATTAGTGACTTGGACAAGAGAGTAGAAAGCACCCTGTCCAAGTTTGCTGACGACACCAAACCATGGGGGGAGGTACACAAACAAGACAGCAGGGAGTGAATCCAGGCTGCTTTGGACAGGCTGGGGAAATGGGCCAAACAGAATAGGATGCAGTTTAACAAGGGTAAGTGTCATGTGTTGCACCTGGGGAGAAAGAATCATCAACACTCCTACAGCCTGGGAGGTACTGTTCTAAGTAGCACACCTACGGAAAGGGATCTCGGAGATGGTAGTTGACTCCAAAATGAACATGAGTCACCAGTGTGATGAGGTAATAAGTAAAGCTAACCGCACCCTTTCTTGCATTAGTAGGTGCATCAAGAACAGGTCTAGGGAGGTGATGCTTCCCCTCTATGCGGCATTGGTCAGGCTGCAGCTGGAGTACTGCGTCCAGTTTTGGGCACCACACTTTGGGAGGGATGTGGATGGCCTGGAGAGGGTTCAGAGAAGGGCCACTCATCTGGTTAGAGGCCTACCGAAAAGGTAGGCCTTTGTGGACTGATTGGGAGACCTGACCCTCTTCAGCCTCTGCAAGAGGAGGCTGGGAGGTGATCTCGTGGCTGCCTACAAACTCATTGTGGGGGGGACAACAAGAAATAGGGGTACAGTGTTTACCAGGGTGCCTGTCGGGGTAACTAGAAAAAATGGCCACAAAATGGAAGAGAGCAAATTCAGATTGGACATCAGGAAAAAATTCTTTACAGTGAGGGTTGCCAAAATATGGAATAAGCTCTAAGGGAGGTGGTGCTGTCTCCTTCCTTGGAGGTATTTAAAAGGAGATTGGACAGACACCTGGCTGGGGTCATCTGACCCCAGCACTCAGTGCTGCCCAGGGCAGGGGGTCGGACTCGATGATCTAATAGGTCCCTTCTGAACCTAACATCTATGAAACTATAAATCAGACATGAATGAGGAAGCACAGAACCGAGCCTGGGGTTACCTGGGATCTAGTCCCAGTTCTGCCCTAGAGTTCATGTCAAGTCATTTAGGGTGGAAATTTATTGCCTTTTGGGTGCCTAAATGGCAGTGTTTCTGCCACACAAGTGAGCTTTTTGATTCCATTACTCTGCAGTGCTCAGGCAAAAATGTGTACATGTACAGTGTATGTGGCCAGTAGACTGGGCAAGTACACAGCTGTGTAAAGGTCATGACACAGTAGGAGATGAAACCCCATGACTAATGGATGTTAGTGGCCAGAAGACGAGGGTTCGTGCATGTTTTAACCCCAGTGGGTAAGTGGTTAGGGCACTTGTCCAAGAAGCAGAAGATCTGGGGTATAGGGTATAGGATCCCTCCCCCAGGTTAGACACCTTCTAGTGCTCACCTTGAAGCCAGGCAAGAGTGGGAATATGTGGGTCCCGGAGGCAGTGAACAAGTCAAAGCATGTGTGGCTCAGTACAAGATTTGCTACTCTAAAAAGCAAATGTGTAACAGTGCAATACTGTGCCCTGGGCAGCAATGCATCCCCCACATGTTCCAGCGTCCCTGCTTTCTGTAACAGGCAGGGCAGAGTTTTGCTGCTGCTGGTGGGGGGGAATGTCACCTCCTGACATGCAGGTGCAGCAGCCCAAAAGCCACCGTTTCTGGTGGCAAAAATGGAGCTGATGTCTTCCCCTGCAACAGTGAACCTCCAGTTGCTGTTCCTGCACCTCCAACCCCTTTAGGCAGTGCCCAGGGCTTATGCCTTGCTCACCCACATATCCTCCTCCTCATTCTTCTGGGACTTACGCAGATGTACATGTACCTGTAACTGCCCAGCCAGTGCAGCATGTAGGCTACTAAGCAGACACCATATATGCATTTATGGTGACACTGCCTGGGTAATAATATAATCATAAATTGTGCAAAAGTGGGCTGGATAAGTGGTCTTTAGGCATATAAATAGGGATTATATTCTGCCCTCAATCTCTCTGGGCCTCCATTATCCAGCTGTAAAATGGGGTTAATAATGCTCCTCTTGTCTTGACTGTATAGACCCCACTCAAGCAAACACAGTGCATATACCATACTTTCTTGCAAACAACACACACCTTTCCCCACAAAATCATGTCCCACCCCACGCAGGGGTGCATGTCTTAGGTGGGAAGCTGTTTTCTCCACTGGAAAAGAAGCATGCCTGGAGACACAGGTCATGTGCCATACAGCTGCCAAGACAGCTGCTGCTTTTCTCCCCAGAAAGTTGAGGGGAGAGGCCTGTATTGACACACTCACAGCTGTAGCTATTGGCTGAGCTCTGTAGCTTGTGCCTGAAGCAGTGAATGAGCTGCTGGTGGGGTATCTTGGTGAAGCTTGTGATATAGAAGCAACACTTCATCTACAGAAACTACTGACAGTAAAGAACAGTCTTGCTCCTGCCTGTGCAAGAGCCTGGGGCCTAATCAGGTGTGACTGAGTAGAGTCACCCATAGCTACAATAAAGCTCATACTGGCCCCACTCCCACAAGTGATAGAGTCCAAGGAAAGGGCAAGACTCAGAAAATAGAGAGGGATTTCCTCTTTAGAAATCAATCCTAGGATATAGAAACCTAAGACACTGGTGAATGTGCATTATAGAGGCAAGGATTTTTCTGGTGGTGCCTTTTATTGGATTGACTCGATATTTTGGAGAGATGTTAGATCAGGTTTCAGACACAAAATGCCCTTCCTCAGGTCAAAAAACATGCCTCATCTATTTCCTGGCCAATGCTGCAGCCCTACCACGTGCACTGTATGTCACCTCTGCACAAGGCTACAGAGGGTCAACCTCTATCACGAGCTCCAGTTACAGGGTTTTTTGCTAAAGTTCTTGCATCTCCTGCTTTCAGGTATGAAATTCCTAAATACCAACCTTAAGGATTCCAAGCAGCATTTTATTCAGCTTGTCTCCTAAGTGTCAGTGCCAGAGGGAAAGAACATAATTAATTTGCTATGTAACCTGCATGCAGCACTTACTTTTCATCTGCAAGTAGTAAACGGTATCATGGTATCCTTTGTTCTGCATTTCACGTATGTTCTGGAGAGAAAAACCATTCCAGGCTCATAAAATGGAGAGTTTTGGGGTTTTTTTGTAATGTGTAGAGCTTTAATAACTAGAAAGACGGTAATAGGTGACTGCATCTGAAGAGACATTTTCAAGGGCCTAAAATGGGGGCTAGATTTTCTCAGAGTTGCTGCTGTTTAATAATGCACCTCTTGTTTGGACTGTATAGACTGTATGTTTCTCAAAGGGCATCATTGTTTTGGTGGTACAAGATTTTTAGCAATATAAAAGTAATGAGTGCTGTGGGCAGCCACAGGTTCAGAGACCCTTGGCTGGGGAGAGACCCCTTGGCCACAAAGCCGTGCTCTCCAGGGCAATAGCTATGTACAATCACTCTATAGTATAGCTCCCCCCACCCCCAGCCAGCTCAGACAGCCTCCTGGGCAGCTCAAAAGCCCAGTTAGTCTCAGGCGCCCCAGCAACCTATCAAGTTCCCCATCTGCAGGCAGCCATAGATGGCAAGGGTGATGGGGCTTCTGCTGCCACTGCTGAGAGACCACTCACCCTTTCAAGGTCCCAGTATGCCTGCAGCCCACTGTTGGGTCCTGGGATGCAGGCACACCAGGATCTTAACCTGGCTTGGGAGCCAGATCACAGCTGACCTGTGATCTGACTCCTGGGCTCCATGGTAGGATCATTATTAATGGTGCCTGCAACCTGGGAGCTGGTTTGCCAGTCTGGAGGTTCTGGGAGCTCGCCCCTGTGTAAGCTGTCAGGGAACCAGCTGTTCTCACTCCCTCCTTTCCCTTGGAGGTGGGAGGAAAAGCAGAGCACTGTGGGATTGGGGCACAGGGGTATTTCTATGACAGGGGTGACCATTGTATCTGACCTGCAGGGCCCCTAAAAAATTTAGAAAATTAATATATATCTGCCCCTGGCTGCCTGTCATGTGGCCCTCAATGGCTTGCCAAAACTCAGTAAGCGGTTCTCTGCCTGAAATAATTGCCTGCCCCTGTTCTATGACCTCCTATCTGGCCAGATGTTGAATGTGTCCTAGCATCAGGATGGCATCCAAGCCTTCCCTTACATATCTACAAGAGCAACATTACGACTCAGAGTACAGTTCTAAAGATATTACTGAACTTGTACACTTCAACTTCACTTTCACTAACCAGCACTTCCTCTAGACCATGGGTATAGCTATAGGCACTAAAATGGCCCCACAATATGCTAACCTTTTTATGGGCCCCCTGAAAGGAGAATTCTTTAAGAACTACACCAAACCCATGCTATACCTAAAATATATAGATGACATCTATCATTTGGACCAAATACCTGGAATCTTTGACTGATTTGCATCACAGATTTAACAATCATCATCCCTCCATCAGACTGTCTCTGAAATACTCCAGCACCAACATTTCCTTTTTAGATACCAGGATCAATATCCAGAATGGTGAAATACAAATCACCATATACAAGAGACCCATGGACCAACATGCATATCTATTGTAAAAAGAACAATTTTTACAACTTTTTACTTGGTCGAATAAAAGATATCATTTCTACCTGAAGAACCTTGTCTGCCTATGTCCTTAGACCAAGATGGCTACAACCAACAACCCTATGGAAATAGATGCAACTTTGAAATAAGAATTCAGGCCCTGCTGGCTCACTGGGCTCACCTTTCCTGTGCTTCTTTTTTCCCCCCACATATCATTGTTATCTTGAGCTAATTGGAGCCCTCAGATAATCTGCAAAGGGCCTGATAGAAGCATGGGGGACATTCTTTGAGGCAGCTCTTGAGCTGGAGTAAATTGGGCAGAGCTCCAGGAGCTGTGACTAGTCGCACCAGACACAGCTCTGTCCCTAAGACTACTTACCAGCCATAAAGGAGGAAATATGCCATAGGAGATCCTGCACAGGTTCTCAACTGAGATCTGAAAACTGCAGTCAAGGACCTTGATAGAGTAGAAAGCAGCTGGACAATCTCTTGGACATATGTCATTGTCCCCTGCAAATGGTGATACGTAAATTGTAGTTTCTGGGTCAGAGAGAGGTTGCAGGCTCGTGAATCCTCCATCAATATATCGCTGAGGAAAACAAAGCACATGTTTTAGGAGGACCCTCCCAGTGCTGTGGTGTAGACCAGCCCATAGAGGCCCCAGTTGAGACCAGAATCCCATTGTGGTACTGGACACAGACATAGTGAGAGCCTGGAAGAACCCAGCAGATTAAATGGATGAGAGAGAAAAGCAATAGGGAAAAAGAGCGGAAGTCGTATGCCCAGGGCAACACAGCATCTTAATGGTAAATCAGTGATCCGCTGACTGTACTGCCTGTTATGGAAAAGCTGGTAGCAACAAACAGCACTTCAGGGCTTTCCCAAGTCACAGCCTCTGACTCAGAAATATCATCAGGAATGTATTGCAAGGCAACAATACATTGAGGGGGTTTAGGGTGGAGATATGGGCCAGAATGTTTTGGGTAGCAAGGGAGAGCTCTAGACAGCAAGAGTCCAGGAGGTACACATCATCCCTGTCATGTCTGGGAGTCCACAATGTAGCCCAGGTTGATGCAAAAACTCTTATCCCCCCGCAAATAGCTGCCAAAGAGCTTACCACACCTCGGAAGGAAGGAGGGATCCATCCCCAAATAACCGGAATAAAGCAGCTGCAGAGCACTGCCTACAGCCAAAGGAGAGAATAAAAGAGTAAACACATTTGTAGTGAAAAAGATGGGACTGGTCTTATTTAGTGCTTTGCATTCCTCATTTCAGAGACTGAGAAACTGAGCTGATAATGTGGACACACAGATGCTATTTGGCTAGCTCAATGGCGATTTTTGTCACATGGACACAGGAAAAGTGTAACATGGAAACAAGAGAGGTGTCACGTGGACAGGTGCCCACAAAGTGGAGGTACCATGGCCAAAGTAACTCAGCGGATCAGTGACAAAGCTAAGAAGACAATCTATGTGCTTCTATAGATGTGCAGACTTGATTTATTGAGTCTGCTGGAGCACAGAAATTACCTTGCTCCAGCAGCCTCCTGTGTCATGTGCATCAGCATCCCCATGCTGAAAAATGGGGATGGGGCACTTTTAACTAAAGCTCCTTCGATGAACTAAAGTACTCCACTGCCTTTTTTCAGTGTGAAGGATGCTGATACACATGAATTAGACAGCAATGCTAATTAGAAGCGTCCAAATGTCAAGTGCCCCCCTGCACCTCCTGGAGCACATGTAAAAATGCCCTATGATTCGTGTGGCTCCAGCTGTGCTTTTCCATGAAACCAATGCTGGGTTCATGGTTTTGCACTTGGCCCATACTAAGATCCACTAAATATGGAAAAATTCAGCCCTCCTGATAAGCACACTTACTGTTCTAACTCTGGGATTTTTATCACCTTTATTCCAAACTGCAAGGAAAACAAAGTCTGTTTTACCTGAATGACCTCCTCCTTTGAGCAGAAGTCTGAAATTACAACTTTCTGGCCATCTGGCAGACGTGTGAGACCAATATGAAGTCTCCCTGAGGCCAGCTGGTGACAGTTTTCAGTCAATCCTTTACGCAATCCCTTTTCCAAGAGCTTAAGGAAATGGAAACGTGGAGAGTAGGGGCCGAGGAGTGATTTCTTACTTTTTTCCATTACCTCAGAGTAAATTTCATCCACAATTTCTAAGGTAAAAAAAAAATTTCCATTATAACCAGTCAAGTCTTGACCTCTGCTCATGAGGCCCAGTCAAGTCAAAGGGAGTTGTGTGCATGTATCTGACACGTGGTTTGCTCTCCCAGGGATTTCTACTTAATCCGAGAACAGATTTACAAGTGCTTTCCAGGTCTGGGGACTCCTCAATCTACATTTTCACTGACTACCTGTCTTGTATGCATACCAGCCCAGCCTGGCTTCTTTACTTTTCATTCCATCCAGGAAGAGCACACACCAGCTGCTGAAACTTCCTTAGCCTGACGAAGGGTTTTTGAACCCGAAAGCTTGCTTAATAGTTGTTTTCCAACTATTTAAGTTGGTCTAATAAAAGATATCAGAGTCACCCAAAGAACCTTGTCTTCCAGTTCTGGGTGTCTTCATTTCTAGAAGCTCAACTTGAGACAGATTGTTATAGATTACTGCTATTGCAGCAATGCCTGGTGCGTTAGCCATTCTCCAGGTCCTACAGCGTAAGGAGCTGCCCATGGCCAAAAGTTTCAGCCTGACTACACAAGATATAACATCACGTCCTTTCTGATCAAATTACCACTCCTTTACCTCCCCTTTCACAAGCAATCATGGGGCAGTTTCTTCCATCTGGACCTGAAGTAATGCAAATGCTATTCCTCAGTAACGTCTTTGTTTAAAAGAAACCTAGGCATCTCCTTTGCTCTCGGGACCTTCTGCCTCTCTTCCCTTAGCTACGGTGAGTGGGTTGAGCTAGTCTCAGCAGCTCTCCTTTCTATGTCAGTCCCTGTAGGAGGGAGGGTCTCAAGCCTAGAAAGACACGAGGATTGCTATTGAAAGCAGCTCCCAGCAACACAACTAGTACTGACTCTTGCAGTGGCAGACTTGGAGGCCCCCTCCCCCTAGCAGACCTGGTAGGTAGGCTGAAGATAGTGTGGGGAATGGTGGGACTTGTGGCTGGGAATCATGTTGGCCTAGGTAAAGTCAGTGTGGTGAGATGGAATTGGAGAGAAAATATGTGAAATAAATAAAAGCCATGGCACTTTGAAATAAGCCTCCAGGCTGAACAGACTATTGCTACTCCCATTTGATCTTGAAAACTAAGCTGTCCAGGGCTTGGCTATTATGCAGAGGGGAGAACTGTTTCATAATCCCAGGTGCCACTGATGGGAGCCAGAAGTGCAAACAGAGTCAGGCCCTTTGTTCTTAGCATGTCTGGGTGCTGTGTGTTGGAACTATGTGCCCCTGACATGGCTGGTTTTATTCACAATAGGTCTGATATACTCAGAGGACACCACAATATTTAGTGCTTTCTTATGGCGAAGTTGGACAGTTTATTCAACAGAAGCAGGTGAACAATTTGTCCCAAGCATAGGTAGCCATAAGGCCAGTGGAATCTCAGTTTCTGTAAGCAGTGGCATGGAGGGGATTGGTGTCTGGCTAGTATTGAATCCAGCTGCCTTTTTCCTCCTAAACCCAATGGCCAGATACTCATTTATAGCTGGCTCAGCAGGGGCAGAGAACAAGACATAACTCCCAAACAAGACCTGTGGCTTTAGAGTCACACTGTCATGCCTCGATTGGTAAGCCATCACACTCCAAATGACTGGAGGGTTGCTTGAATTCTCATTTATAACCTTCTCGCATCCAGCCTGAAATTCCTAGATGAAGGGCCAGATGAATGCCTGGCAAAACGAGTAACATACACAGAGTACAACTAGGAATTAAACTGGTCCATCATGTCCTAACCCTGGACAGCAAAATATGGGTGTTCTAGTACTTCCCACAGTGCCACTTGGGAATATAAAACAGTTTCCAAAAAAAACCCACAACCAAAAAACCATACCAGGGGAGCGCTCTTTAGATCAGGGCTTGAAGACTTAGCTGGGATCCTGACTTCATTATTGTGGATGCCATTCATACATATAATATAGGCAGAGGTGGTCTCTGCCTCTAAAACCTTGTGTCCTGAATTGACAATGAGAAAATAAAGAAAACCCCTCCACTTCAGAGACTGTTGGTATATAACCAGGACTCTTGGCAAACTCCTTTGAAAAACTCAGCCCGAGTAACTTGCCAAGGCCAACACAACCCATGTGACAGGGCACTTATTGAGCCTGTCACTTTAAGAAGGGAAGAAACTGCTTGAGGAGCAGCCTGCAGGTGTGGCAGGGGCCAATTAGAGTCACTTGACCAAAAATGGGGCTGGGTTTGATGCATATAAGCCCAGGGCGTGAGTTGGTCAAGGAGTCTAGCCCTGAGAGCCACAGGGAGAAGAGCTCCTGGGCAACATCTGAGCTGGGGGTAAGCATCTCTGGAGGTTTGCATAAGAGACTCAAGGAAGGTACAGAGGTCCCAGATGGCCCAGAGTGAAGACAGGTTTATAGACCATGGGGAGGGGGCAAGTGTCAGCAGAGCCAAGGAGCCCAGAGGTCTGTAGCCCAGGAGGGATGGGTGTCAACAGAGTCAGGGAGCTTGTAGATCTCACTGGTGCAGGAGTGGGACCAGGGTCCAGAGATGGGCCAAAAGCCATGGAGGGCTGCAGCTGGAGACTGCTGGAGCTAGGGGAGCCCAGGAGTCTTAATTGGCCTAGGAATGGGGCCTGGACCCAGGGGGCCAGTTAAAGGCTGGAGGTTACAGCTGGGTCAAGGAATCTGTAGCCCAAGAGGGGTGAGGCCTGGGGCTGGGAGCCCATAGCCCA